GCCTTCCAACACAGTGCCCTGAAGTTTTCAAGTTCAGTTCCTTGGGACCTGAAGGGCAGTGTCCAAGGTATGGAGGAGGGATAAAGGCTCCCAGCTTTGAGACCCAAACTGAAAACTGTCTGCCTATAAATGGCCATGTATTTCAGACTTCTCATGAAGAAAGTATTGTCAAAATCACCTAATAGAACCTATCGGAGGGACGTGGAGGAACTGACTCGTAGCCAAGATAAATGTGGGTATGGAAGGTAATTCAGAATTCAGAAAGAAGTCTGGCGGGAAGTTAGTAGAGGTTTCATTTAGGACCTGCACTGTGAACGCAGGCCAAGGAGTGTGCAGGCCACATAGTGGAAACCCAATAAATATTTGTGGATTTAATACATGAATGAATGAATGAAAGAGTGAGTGATTTTCCCTGCAGCTTCTGCCTCCCCTGTAGAACACTGCCTCCTGCCTTTTGTGAGGGGCTCCATTTGAGAGAAGGTGCAAGCACCTGCAGATCACCATGACGCCTGCCTTTCACTCTGCGGGCCCCACCTAGCACCACGAATGTGCTCCCTCCACACTCCCTCCTGACTTTCCTTCTCTCTGATAGTTCGATCGAAGGTGAGCTCTGCTCAAGAGGATTCAGGGATGTGCACTGAGCCTCAACCTGGCCCCGCTCCACCCAAAGGATAACCAAGCAGACCATGAGAACATGTTTCCGACCGCCCCTCATCATTAACAACCCTTAAAAATCAGAGCAGATTTTCCCCTGTCCAGAGCTTTTGCAAGTATGATTTTATTTTTACACGTAGGAATTTGAAATTAGTCAAATACACATCTTTCTGGTCTGAAATGTACAAAGAATAATACAAAACCTACAGGGGCCGTCTTTTCACAATATTAACATTTTATATTTTTGTACATACGCATAAATCCTTAAGGAATATTTAATATTCCTTTGTAATTGTAATTCTTATATGAATGCTATTATACTGTACCTGACATTCTGAAACTTTATTATGCTTAACAGAGTTTGAGTGATTTATTGTTGTTGATATACATAGCTTTATGTTTTTCTCATTCCACTGCTCTATTGTTTTGTATTATAAGACTAGGCCACCATTTATTGACTCGCCTCATGATGAATACTGAAACTTTGTCTGTTGTTTTCCTAGTCCCACTGTCACACAAGTGTCCTTATCGTTGCTTCCTTGGCACCTATAGGAGAGTCCCTCTTGCTCCCCTAGTGCGGGCCGCAAGCAGCATGTTGGTATCGTTTGGGAGCTTTGGTTATACCAATATCTTTCAATTTTTGATTAGGTTTTGCTCTTTCTACTCATGTCTTTCGCCAAGCTGTATTGTCCTGGTGGAGTGCGTGCGTGCGCACACACGTGTGTGTTTGTGATGGGGGGGGGTCTCTTTTCCTTCCATGAGGATAAATTACCCAGCGCTCACTGACCCGCACTGCCACCTTTGCCATGTGCCAAGCTCTTTGCCTACGTGGTTCTTTGTATGAGCTCTCTGCTCCATTGAGCTGCTTGTCTCTCTCTGACACTACTCGCCTGCCCTAGCGAGGACAGCTTTACAGCCAGTTTTCACATCTCTTTTGGGGAGATCGTCCCACCTTTTGCTGTTGTTCAAAATGGTGTGCTGTTCCTGGCCCAAAAGCATTTTTCAATCGCTGTGTCATGTTTTATGAATAACCATATGAGAATTATCATTTGATCTCATTGAATTTATATATTAATTTAGGCAAATTGGTATCCCTTCAAGTTTGAATTTTCCTATGCATGGACATGATATTTTCATTTTAAGATTTTTTAATAACTTTCAGTTTGTAATTTTACATATTTTTCCCCACAATCATCTTAGGCATCTCTAACTGGAACTATCTTTATTCTTTTTAGGTAGGCCTTTTCTTTGTTTGTAATCCTCACCCAAATTTGGTGATTGGTTATAGAGAGAGAGAAAGGACAGGGAGAGGGAGAGAGAAACATCCATGTGAGAGGAACATCGATCAGTTGCCTCCCTTAGCCAGGGATGGAACGCGAAACCTCGCTGTGGCCCTGACCAGGGATCGAACCCGTAACCTTTCAGTGTATGAAATGATGCTCCAGCCAACTGAGCCACCTGGCCACGGCTAAGTCATGGAAACTTGAAAAGTTGTAATTACTGTTTACAGTGGGTTTTGACGATTGTTTAGGATAGTAATTGATTGGATCATCATTCTTATATCAACCAAGCTTATGAAACCCTTTCTAGTGCTAAGAGTATGGACATTCTTTTTATCTGGAAAACTTACAACATTAATTACCGAGAACTGGTTTCTACATGTATCAAAATTACACATGCACATATTTTAAGAGTCAAATAAATCTACAAGAGCTACATATGACACGTGGAGTGTCTCTAACCTCCTACCACTTTCTACCTTTCAGAGGCAAACATTTACTACTCTTTTAGCTGACTATTTTAGTGTTTTAAAGTACCTTTGCCATACTTTACATAGCAGGCTCATATTGCTTCGTGACATCAATCTCGCATTTGGGCGTTATTTGTGGACTTCCGCCTAAGAAAGACGGGGAGATGAGGTTCTGTGGCCCCTGACCTCATGTCCCACACGCACACGTTCTATTCCCCGTCAGCCTGCTCTCATTCCACCATAACTTTGAATGCCCAAATAGTCAGTGTTTGTTGGTATTGAAGCCGAGCCTCGTCACGTTACCGGATATCACCCACGTTGACCCCTCACGTGTATGTTTGCGTCACCGCCACCACGACCGCATGCAGAGCAAGTCCCTGACCACAGAGGTCCCCCTGTGCCAGCCCTCGGTAGTGGCCCTACCCCTGCCGTACCGAAACCTCAAACGCCGGTCTCCTGTCCATTCCAAAGTTTCAGGGATGTTGATACATGGCATCACAGAGTTCGTGAGATTTGGGGATTGCCTTTGTTCACTCACCATAATGCCTTTGAGAAATGTTAAATGTTGCATGTGCATGCATAATCCAAGCTTTCTAAAAATTTGTAATCGAGGAATATTTTTAAGTCTTACCATTCCCTTTTATTGTTGACACGATTACAGATGCCTCTCATTTCCCCCATTGGGCTGCATCCACCGATCGTGCCCTGTGCACCCTTCCTTCTGGCCGTTGCCGCACTGTTGTCAGTGTCTATGGGTTATGCGTATATGGCATTCGGCCACCTCCTTCACTTTCTCTCATGTAGTGCCCCCGCCACCCGACCGCCTGACAGCTGTCAGTCTGGTCTGTGTATCCAGGCCCCTGTTTCTCTTTTGCTCATCGGTGTATTTAGTTCATTAGATTCCTCATATAAATGCGATCTTATGGTATTTGTCTCTTTCTGACTGGCTTATTTCACTCAGCATCATTATCTCCAGGATCCATGTTGTCATATATGGTAAGGTTTCCTTCTTTTTTATGACCACAGAGTATTTCACTTCCTATGCACCGCAGTTGTTCCCCTGACTCAGGTACGGATGGGCAGTTTCCAGACCTCGGCTCTTGTAAACAACACAGTTATGAACATAGGGGTGCATATATTCTTTCGAATTGGTGTTTTGGGATTTGGGAGATATATTCCCAGCACTACTGGGATTGCTGGATTGAAAGGCAATTCCATGTTTAATTTCTAGAGGAAAATCTATGCTGTTTTCCACAGTGGCTGCGTTTCCACCAGCCGTGCACTAGGCTGGGTTCCCTTGTCTCCACACCCTCACCAGCACTTGTTTGTTGATTTACTGAGGATGGCCATTCTGGCAGGTGCGAGGTGGTATCTCATTGTGGTTTCATTCGCATCTCTCTGACTATCAGTGAAGTCGAGCGTTTTTTCATATGTCTGTTGGTCATCTGTGTGTCCTCTTTGGAGAAGTGTCTAAAAGACCTTTTGCCCATTTTTTATTTGGATTGTTTGTCTTTTGGTGTTGAGTTGCGTAAGTTCTTTACATGTTCTGGAAATTAACCCTTTGTCCGATATATCACGGGCAAAACATGTTCTCTCAAACACTGGGTTCTCTTTTCATCTTGGTGGTGGTTTCTCAGGCTGTGCAGAAGCTTGATGTAGTCCCATCTGTTTATTTATATTTGTGTGTTCGCCTTGCCCTGGAAGACATAGCAGTAAACGTATTGCTACGAGAGATTTCTGAGCGTTACTACATACGCTTTCTCTTAGGATTTTCATGATTTTGTGACTTACATTGGAGTCTTTATCCATTTTGAGTTTATTCTTCTGTGTGGTGTGAGTTGGTGATGTAGTTTAATTTCTTTACATGTATCTGTCCAATTTTAAGCCATGTTTTCCATTGCTGCCTAGTAGTTTCTTTTCTGAAGGTACCACTGTGTGTCCAGTCATTTTTTTATTCTCAGGCATTTTGTTGGATGGAGGCACAGACTAGGTGAGAGGGCCACACTGCACTGCGTATTTGGACTAAATGGTACCAGTTGCATCAGTGAAGGATGGGAATAGGGAGTCATTCAGCGGCAGGCCTTGTTCTGTCCCAACACTGAATGTGCCTGGTGAACCCTCTTCTTTCTTCAGCTGAGTAGTTCTAGGTAAAGATGAAGACAAGGCTAAGGGTGGCTACATCTTAAGGTCTGGGACTTGGGAATGTGAGATGCAGCCCACAGCTGCAGCCCCTCTCACTCTGGGCCCCCAAGCGTAGCATCCCCATGAAGATCTCCGATGGGGCGAGGGGCCCAGTGGAGAGCGGAGGCCGCAGACAGGGGCAGCGCTATTCCCTGCAGGCCGGTCCAGGGCTCTCTGTCAGCTGAGATGAGTAACTCCTCACCCTCCAGCTGCCCTCTCTGCCTGATTCTGTTTCACAATCCAGAAATAGAAACTTTCTCGTATCTGGAGGTGAGCCGCTGTCTCACAGGCATTGCACCACATCCTGATCACTTCCTCTTGTATCACAGGAAGTGGGCCCTCTCTTTACCCACAGAGCAGAGGCCGGGTGTTCCCAGCGCACAGGAGGACACCGCAGGCTCCTCAGGCCTCCAGGATGCCCGTCCCTGCCTCCTGGCCCTGCCCTCCTCCTGGCCTGCTGCTGACTCTGCTGCTGGGCCTCGCAGGTGAGCACACCTTGGGGTAGAATCTCCTTTCCCTGCCCCGGGACCACTTCCTGCCACTGAATTTTAGAGCTTTTAGGAAATTATGGGTGTGTCACAAAGGCAAAAGACAGGGCATGATCCGAGACCCTGAAATCAGGGATTTCAATGCTTCTTCTGTGGGCGCATCACTGGCACCCATCTACCAGAGGTGTCAAAACAGGTGATGCTTCAAACCACAGAAGCGACAACTTTGTGGGTATATTAAATGCTCTCTCTAATCCTCCCAACTTCCGTGTGTGACACCTATGACTATCATCACTGATTTGCAGAAGAGGAAACTGAGGCAGAGAGAGTAACTAGTCCCATGTCACCTATGTAAGGCAGTGGTTCAGCCTGGATTGAAGTCCAGGAGAAGCAGCTCCAGAGCTCATTCTTTTAACCAAGTCATACAGCTTCTCAGCAGAGGCTGATTGTGGAAAAATCAGAAAACATGGAACTTAAACCAAAGACTAGTCCTTAGCCATCAGAGCACCCAGAGACCCAGAGATCAAGTTCTGCTGTTGACTCAGGAACTTTTGTTCGTGATGTGTTGCGTGGTGCCTGTGCGCTAAGTATGTTACTGAGCATTTCATATGTGTTATGATTTCATGAATCCTCCAAACAACCTGTACGCTGTCATGGTAGGTCATGCTTTTCCATATATTTGTGACACATGTATCAGCGTGTGCGTGTATGGGTGTGTATGAATGGGTGCCAGAGAGGGCATACACACATACACAGCGGGTTTTTGAAAGTCCTTTTTGTTCTCTTTAACATTCTCTTGTCTCCATGAAGTGCACAGGAACAGATGATAGTTCTTTTTGTCCCTCAGCCACCCTTCCTCCTTTCTGTTTCTTGAATTTATCCTCTTTGTTCCCCAAACGCTTAGGACAAACAGGCTGCTCTTGGTAAAATGGACAGAGTTTTGTGCATTATAATCTTGGCATCCCTTCCTCCATGACGGCTGGGGGTGAGGAGGAAAACAGTGGATAAAAGATAGAGTCTTTTTCCTGTATGATCGATGTCTATAATTCTACCCATAGCTACATCTATATCTATATCTAAATTCCCTAATGTCAGTTGACACATCCAGGCCCCAGGGAGTATAATGAGTAATACCTTCGCAATTTCTTGAACACCCACCACGTGCTGACGCAGTCGGAAATCCCTGCGTCTGTTATCCCGTGTGATCACTATACCCAAAGTGGATCCTCTCCTCACCCCTACCTAGACAAGCAGGGGGGAAAGTCACAGACAGGTTCAAAGTCACTCAATGATAAATGGTAGAGCTATGATTTGAGCTCAACCAGTCTGATCCGAGCCCTGATGGGTCTCACCAGTACCCCACTGCTTCCTATTACAGACCAGGGACAGGCCCGGAGCGGGTCTGCCTCCGGCTGGCCAGTGGTGTGTGGGCTCTTGACTTGGTGCAGGAAGAGTTCACAGCGCGAGTCCAGGTGACCGTGAGAGAGCATTTATCAAAGCTGGGGACAGTGAAACAAAGGAGGGACGTGGAGTAGAAGAAGCAGCTGCAGAGAGCCGAGGCGGCGCTCTGCTTTGGCTCCCTAAAAACACTAGAGGAAAGCAGTGAGCCAAGGTGGGGCCCCTGTAGAGTCACTGAAAAACATAAGTCACAGTGACACAAGGGAGTCAAAACAGGGCTGCTTTCAGCTCACTGGGAAGTCGGAGAATATCGGGGCCTGGGAGACAGGATAAGCAGGTAAACCTGGGCCGGGCTACCGGGCTCGCTGGTGCCCTGGTTGCAAGTCCCACGGAGGGAGGTGAGTCTTAGGGGAGGGTGTCAGCAGAGTATTCATCAGCTTCCTAAGGATGTTTTCAAAATGCTAATGCATCACAATGAGCATATAAAAGAGTTTGGAATTATTGTTTGGCTTGCCTTAACTGTTTACCTTTATCCTGGGCCTGTCTGGCTCTAATGGGGTCTTTGATACTTGTTCCCTGCCCTCTCTGTCCTTAGGTTTAGTTGGCCCGACTGGCATTAGTTGGGTCTCTGCACTCTATCGCCCCAAGCAGCGTGATTGAGACTGTGCATTGTCTGCTCAGGGAGGTCAGATGTAAACCATTGGCTCTCAAAGGACCTTGGTTGGGGAAAATAACATCTTGGGATTCACTGGCAGGCTGTAAGCCGGTCCACTTGTTTGGCCTTGTGGAATTATCCTGTCTCAGTTTCCCCATTCCACGGGGAATTTCCCAGCTTCTTACTAGCTGTCTTCACTTCCGATGAGATTTCTGCCACTTGTGCCAATGAGCGTGGGGAACGGTGAGTGCTGGGGGTGAAGGTTTGTGGTTTTCTGCTCCTGGGTTCTTCTGCTTTTTTCATATGCAGAAGATGCTTTTGTTTTTCCAACAAGTTATCTAGTTGGGAAACTCAGTTTCTGACCTAATTGCCATAGATTTCCCCACTTAAAATGGGCTTCCGGATTTCGGGGGAGGGGTCTGATCAGAAATTCACACATGTTATACAAATATTTCTTTCATACTTACAATGTACCAAAATGTTTTAGGAACTCGGGGTGTGTTGGTGAATAAGAGACAAAGTAGCTGCTCTTGTGGAGCTTATATCCCAGTGGGAAAAACGACAGAAAACAATAGACATAATAAATAAGTAAATAATACAGAATATTAGAAAGTGCTAATTGTTAGGAGGAATATTAAAGTATAGCTGAATAGGACAGTTGAGGAGACCTAGGTGGGACGTATATTAAACAGGGTAGTCCGGGTGGGCATCACTGAGAAGGGGAAGTTGGAGAAACTTTGAAAGGAAGTTGGGAGTGAGCCCTGGTGTTACCTGGGAGAAGAGCCTTCCTGTCAGGGAACAGCACAGGCAGAGTCCCGAGAGAGAATCTTCCTGCTTTGTGCAATTATTTAAACTTTTGCCCGTAGTGACAAGGTGGCATTTGCAAGTTTTGAAGAAAGAAGCGACATAATGTGACATGAGGTTTAAAATATCATAGCTTTTTGCTGAGCGTAGGCTACAACAGGACATAGATGAAAGCAACTGGAGCATTCCTGCAAACAAGGAGAAGGGACTTGTACCAGGACAGCAGCCAGCAGAAGAGGGGGGAGGATGGAGACTTGGGTGCATGCGGAAGGGGACCCGCAGGACTTCTGATGCAAGGGATTCGGGGTGGGAGCAAGACTCCATGCATTTGGGAACCGATCGTTCCCTGAGAAAAGATTACAAACATCCAATAACAACACTAGCATAGGAACCTTATTGGTAATGAAAGAAATAAAAATTTAAAAGTAAGATACCATTTTTCACTTATGTTGGCAAAGATTAAATCTTTAAAAATATAGAATCTACTGTTTACCAGGGAGTATGCAGCTGGGAGCTGAAAGGGTGGTCACACATGTACCGCTAGCTGGATGTGTGCGTTGCACAGCCTTTTTGGAGAGCCTTTTGGCAATACTTTACTTTAAATACTTTAAAAAACTGTAATCCAATTGAAGCAATCTTCCCATTACCAGAAATTTTCTCTAGGACGTAATTAAACATTTACCTCAAAACGTGATTAAAAGACTATCCCCTGCACCACTGCTTACAGTAAAGTCTGCAGACGATCAAATGTCTGACAGAGAGCAAACACGAGTAAACGGGGGCACACGACCCTGCCGGCAGACCCTGGTCTTCCCCTCCATGCCATTCTCCGCCCCGCTCAGCTTCCTCCTTCCCCAGCGTCTACTTCCCACAGAGTCCAACAATCGCTTTCTCAGAGCGCTGACCTGGGTCTGGACAAACTAAAAGGAAATCTTCTGGGGACCCGTGGGCAATGCACTCCTCACTGACAGAACTGACCTGTGAGGGGACAAACAGCCTTTCCTGACTTTTAGACGCAATCCTGTGAAGGTGTGAAGCTGAAGTTATGGCAGCAGCTCTCAGGACCGTCAGACAAGCCTAAGGCCAAACAAACTGGGGCTGAGGCAGAACAGTGTCCTTAATGGCCCCTCGGAGCTGCGTGTTGTGTGAGATAATGAATGTCCTTGGTTACTTAGGTCAGTTATGTTTGGCCGTTTACCTTTGGTCAAAAGTATCCTGACTGATAGAAGCCGGACAACAGAAGACGTTAGAGCCGGTGAGACTTATGCCCCAGAAGTATTTATGAATCGTGGATGCGCAGTTAAGAGAAAAAGATTACAAAATCATGTTACCATTTTGTATTCACAAAACCAAGTACATTAATATGAATTCATTTGCCAAGTAAAAGGTTTTAGAAATTATTCTCTCTGAAATAGTTGTCTTAAAGACAAAAATTTAAATGTTTCTTTATTGCAAATTAATTTTCTGTTTCTTTCTGCAACGAGCATATGCAGGCACGCCTCAGAGCTCCTGTGGGTAGTTGCAGACCTCCGAAATAGAGTGAGTTATGTCTTTGCTAGTGGAGGGTCTTCTTGCCTTTGCTTTGTCAAAAACAGAACGCCTGTGAAGTGCAATCAAGTGAAGCACAATAAAGCCAAGTACAATAAAGCCAATACCATGGGGCATGCCTGTGTCACATAAGAGTCAGCCACTCTTTGCTATTTTTTCTGTCCGTTCAGTGCGATTTTGGGAAGGAAGAAAAGGGAAACATGTCTTCTACTAAGCTATGTTGAAGTGGGAGTATGGTTTTTATCCTACCTGAGGACATTATTTTTTCATTTGCTTTTTTAGAGAGAGAGAGAGAGAGAGAAAGGAGAGAGGAAGGGAGAGAGAGACACCAATGCGAGAGAAGCATCAGTTGGATGTCACTCTCGTGCCCAGACCTGGGATGCACGCCGGGACAGGGGATCAGACGCATTTAGACAGGTGACGCTGGCGCCGGCGCAGGTACCAGGGGTCGAACCCACAACCTAGGTCTGTGTCCTGACTGGGAATTGAACCCACAACGCTTCGGCTATGAGATGACACTCCAACCAACTGAGCCACAGCGGCCAAGGCTGGGAGTAGGCTTTTTTAACAGGGAAAGTTATGCTTTTCTTTCTCAAGTTGTTTTGTGAAATAAAATTTGGTAGCACCAGGCATCAATCATTTCTTGACTACAGAACAATACACAACAGGTTCCATTTCTCTGTGTTGTCATATCATGGCTTTGTACCATTTCCTATCAAAATTTATTCTGTGAAGCAAAAACAGTCCCCAAATGAAGGGTCTTCGGGGGCCATAGGAACAGCAGATGATACAAGTCATCGAAGGTGGGGACCCATCAGGCTTCCTAAGAATACTGCAAGAATGGAGCGCATCATTCTGCGTTCTCCAAACCTCCGTTCCTTTTCTTCTTCTGCCTCCAGGGCCAACGTGTTTCTTCATAATCCTGGCCTATGTCCAGGGCTGACGGAGGTGTATCAAATTCAAGCCGTTGCAGTTCAAATCCGAGCCCAAGGACCTCGGGCTTTTATAAGGCCTCCTTTCAGTGGCAAATTCCTTGAAAACATATCCATCCGAGTGCAATCGTCCTTAAGGCTTCTGAGTGTTTCTATTCTTGTTTGTAAACTTTCATTCTATAATCTAAAAGAATTCTGAGATTGAACCATTACCTCTAAAACTACTCTTCATTGTATCAATTCCAACTTGTTGCTCAGGTTCAGCGGCCCAACCCATTTCAAGAGAGATGTTAAAGCTGAAATTTGGGTAAAAATTCAGTGAGTCTTTAACACCTAATTTCCTCATCGTTGCAAGACCAGCAATGGCCGCCTTAGTGTCTGGGGCACAGACGGACCTGCCCACATGCTCCTTCTGCTTGGGTTGGATCGGTCACGCCATCAGCCACGCGGCTCAGCTGGGCAGCCGAGAGACCCAGGTAAAGGTCCAGCGCACGCCCTCCGTTGCTGGCTCCAAGCAGAACCGCTTGGCGGGGAAAGATTGAACCTCCTCTTTGCGACATCACTTGACCTCTATGTAGCTCAGTTTCCTCATTTGTAATGGGGCATGACATGACAGCTAGCGGGGGGGGTTACATGTATGAGAAGTGTAACATGCTGAGCTCCAGGCCCGCGCAGGGTGTGCACTCACTCAATGAAAGCCATTGTCAATAAACACTTGACAAGGCCTGCACCATCACGCAGGGATGAATAAACAACTGCTCTGTGCTTTCCCGCAGGAGGGGCAGGTGCGGAGCTGCAGGTGATTCAGCCTGACAAGTCAGTGTCGGTGGCAGCCGGAGAGACGGCCACTCTGAGATGCACCCTGACCTCCATTAACACCGTGGGACCTGTCATGTGGTTCCGGGGGATACGGCCCGGCTGGGTGTTAATCTACGATTTCAAAGGAGGCCTCAGCCCCCGAATAACAACCGTTGGAGACACCACGAAGACAGACAACATGGACTTTTCCATCCGCATCAGTAACATCTCCCCAGCAGACGCCGGGACCTACTACTGTGTGAAGTTCCGCAAAGAGGACACTGGCAACGTAGAGTTCAAGTCTGGGGCAGGCACTCAGCTCACCGTGAGTGGTGAGTATGGGACCAGATCCATTGTCCCTGGCGTGTGACAACAGTTATTAGTTCTTTGAGCAACAACTAAGAATCCGCTGTGGCAGTGGGTGCTCATAGTCGGGATCTGATCCCTGGTCTGATTTCACCCCTTCTGCAGGTCAGGGGAGTGAGGCCTGGAGAGGCCAAGCTGTCTGCTCAGGCCCCACGGCTGGTAGTGGGTGGGAAAAGTCTGGAACCATCTTCTGCATGACTCCCCAGCCCCTGCCTCTTCCAATCCTGTCCAGCCTCTTAGTTGCTGGCATGAGGGAGCTGCAGGTCTCAGTGACTTGCCCGTCACAAGGTCAGACATCACCCCGGCCCGCAGAGAGTGCTCCCCTCAGTCTGGCCGGGCCACCCAACCCCTTACTGACACTCCCTGAGCACGTGCTGTGAGCCAGGCCCTGCTCTGGGTGCCGTGGTAGCTGCCGTGAACTGAGCAGGGAAAGGCCCATTTCCTACAAACTTGGTTCTCTTCCCTCCAATGGGAAGAAATGCATGCAAGGCAGGGAGGGGGGAATATGTTTCTTTATTGCCTTCTCAGAAGCATCACATGAGAAGAAAATCTTAAGGGACACAGACCCCCAGTTTACTCTGATAGCCCTGCTGGGCGGGGGACTCAGAAGTTGGATGATTCTCAGACGGTCCTTCATCCCGGGAGAGGGTCCCCCATGTGGGTGACTTCAGGGTCACCTCACTGAGGCAGGGAAAGTGCTCACTTTCCTGTGTGTTTGGCCGGAGGCCTAGGATCCTGAATCCTGAAATATCAGCCCATAAAGGACCTGCAGACCATCCGCCTGCCCCCCATGCACAGGTGGGAGCCTGAGGCCAAGAGGTGACAGCAGTTTTGCCCTTGGTCACCAGGCCAGGGAGTGGGGGCAACATTCCAGAATCTAATAAGAGTCCAAGCATGTTCCTTCCTGCCCTGTCGTGAGACCTCTTTCCATGGAAGACTTGGCCCATAGTAGGTGCTGAATGAAAGGCAACTACACCAACCATTCAACAAAGACCCAGAATATTCCTTTCATTATTTTCTCAAACGTTCACCTGCCCCTCACATTCAGACCCTGAAGCCCAAGGTAACTGAAATCCCCTCACAGCCGTGAGCCTCGTCACCCCCAGTCAAGCACCCCCATCAGCACCTAGAGCTGCCCCTTCTACAGCAGCTGCCTAACCCTCCAGCTTATGGCGACAGTTTCGCTCCTGGACAGCCTGTAGAGGGATGTCAGTTGTTCCCAACCTCTGGTTATTAAAACGGTAAAGCTGGGAATAAATGTGTGCAGGTGTCACTTGCCCAAGACGGAGATGCCCACTGGAATTGCCATTGCTGTGTCAGAGGGTACGTGATTGTAATGTGTGTGGCTATCGCCAATTTTCATCCTAGATGAGGTCGCCATGGAATCCCCCCACAACCCCTGAACATTGGCAGAGAGGGTGGATTTATCCTGAATATTCTGATATTACAGTATTTCCCAAGGTTGTGTTCGTTGCCTGGGTCATCCCAGGTCGTAAGGGGCTCCGTCTGAGGTCTGCTGCCCCCTGGTGGAGCGCTCGTTCCCCTTCCCCAATCTGCCTGCCCAGAGGACCCTGTGGATGAGAAAGCAGGGAGGTGAGGGGGGAGGGGGGAACAACATTGTTCTAGATCCGATCTCTTCCTCATGCCATTTACTCTTGTAACCAGGGCTTTGGCAGAGAGTCCTGTTGATAAATAAAGACTCTAAGACTCAGAGAGGGAACCTGACTTGTGAGCAGGTGGGAAGCTAAGACTTACCCCCAAACAGCCTGACTCACAGCCCCTCGTGTTTGCCGCACCCCTCTGTGCTTGACATACTGGGCAGACAGCTCCAGACCTCTCCTGAAAATCTTAAATTGCTTTGTCCTTCGGCAGTAAAAACTTTGTAAAAGGTTCTGTGGGGGAGGCAGGGCAACGTTACTACCCAGGTCAGTCAGGTACGCAAGTCTCGCCGTGTGCTGACCCTGCTCCGAATGCCGTGGCTCGGCCTATAGAAGCACTTGGGAGGCGGTTCCCCTCCACTGTGGTGGTGTTTGTCCTTCACTGAGCACCTGCAGGAGCGTCCTGGGGACAGGGGCCTGGATGGAGCAGATGGGGGTCACTGAACCCCCAGAAATACCTTGAAAAAAACCCCTGGGTCTACAGACTGAGAATGTGGGCAACAGCCATTTCCCAGGGGGCACAGTGGGGCTCAGCAGGAGCCAAGTTCGTATTCTAGACTCACCTCTCAGGAGGCCCCGTCTTTCGTTTGTTGCAAGAGGGTCTCAAGTCCTGGTCACTTGGAATCAACTCCTCCTTGTTATTCCTTAAAGTCAATATTCGCAGAGAGAAAAGAGGAGGATAGCGGCCAGTGTTGGGACCTGTGAGGTGGTGTAGTTACTCTGTAGTTGGACATGAAGACTGGGGACCACAGCAGACATCCCCGGGACACAGTGAGAGGTGAGGAGACAGCCCCCACCTTTCTCTCAGCCTCCCTTTGCCCCTCTGTAACGCGGCGATGATCGTGGCCTCCTTTAGGGGACCTGAAGGGTGTGAGGTGCTCTGTCTGAATCACCCGGCACAGAGTCGCTCCCCCAGATAGGCTGTTATTTCACGGCGTGGCCCACTTTCTCTTGCGGGGCCCCAGGTTCCTCCCCTGCAGACAGTGGATGCTCCCACCAACCTTTGTGGGAAGGACTGAGGCCACAGTGAGCCTGGTGAGAGAGCCGACCCTAGTGAGCGATGGTGTCATCTCACCGCTGGGTGCTCCTGGGCAAGTCTAGCTTCCTGGAGTCCTCACTTTCCCCGTCGGCGAAGGGGTGATGATCCCAGCTGCCGTTCAGGGGTCCGTGAGGGTAGGAGAGGATGTCTAGAGCGCCCAGTGGGCAGTTCAGGGAGTTACTGAGCGCCGGTGCACAATGGGGGAGCGCATAGACCGAACTTCCTGCCTGGGCTCACATCCCGGCCCTGCTACTTTCTGGCTCTGTGACCTCTGACATGTCGCTCCCCACACTGTGCCTCAGAGTCCTAATCTGTCAGTGACAGCACTGACTTTGCAAAACAGCTACAAAGACTGAAGGAGTGAACACATGCGAAGTGCTTCGAGCGGTGCCTGACATGTAGGAAATGCTCTGTGAACGGGAGCTCTGCCTTGCTGGAGCCACAGGACATGGGACAGGTCACTTTCTTCTCCAGGCTTCAGTATCAATAGGGTTGGAGGTGGGGTTCGGTGCCTTGCACCTTGGCACTCATTGGAATCCCCTGGGAATCTTTCAAAAGTCTGCAGACGTGGGCTCCGCCCTAGCAAATCCGATTTGGTCAGACATAGGCCTGGCAGCCACATTTTTTCACCATCTGGAGTCCGAAGGCCCTGAGCTAGGTGTTCTCTGAGGTCACAGAGAAAACACATTTTTTCCCCTGACAATGGGGCTCCCCCTGCTGCTGGGGCTGTGAGACCGCCACCTTTGGGAGGTGCTGGCTCTTCAGAATCTAACGTGCCAGAGACGGCTCCTCAGAGGCCCAAGGAAATGAGCCCATGTGGAGGGTCAGGGACACCCCCCCTCGGAGCAGGCCAGGGCTGAGAGTGGCCCCCTGCTCTCCAGGCCTGAGGACACGCAGCCCAGACACCCTGTCACATCCAAGCTCCGTGGCCGGGGACACCTTCCCACATTTAAACACCTGCGTGCCTAAGCAGGCCCGGGATTCCCCGCGAACACTCACTGCCCAGCCCCAGAGCCCTTCCAATGCCAACAGGCCAGCATGTCACTGCTGAAGGAATCCACCTTCCCTGGGGAAATGCTCCCAGCTTCCATAAAAAGCCGATCTGCTGGGAAACGCCTGGGATCTGGTGTGTGTTTTCAAAGTCACTTCATGAAATTTGGTTCCTAAGGAGATCATTTCTAAGAAGAGAGAGAATCATAATATGATGACTTCTCTGCCGTCTTATTTTTAATCCTCACCCAAGGATATGTTTACTGATGTGAGAGAAGGAGGCAGGAACAGAGACAGGCATTGGGGGTAAAACATAAATATGGGAGAGAAACATGGATTGGATGCCTCTTGTACGCACACAAAAACCTAGGCATGTGCCATGACGGAAATGAAACTCTCAACCTTCCGGTGTATGGGATGATGCTCCAATCAGCTGAGCCACCTGACCAGGGCTCTCTGCTTTTCCCGTCTGAGGTCTTGACGGCAGTTGTGGGGAGCAGGACTTGGGACTTTTCTTGCTGCCCATGTCTTCGGCAGACGTGAGCAGAGCACGGACTTGGGCCAGGTAGTGTAGGGCACCTGGGAGGAAAGCCCTGGCTGCCTGGCATGGAGCCAAACTAAGAAAACAAAGGCCTCGACCTCACGGTGCCTTTCCTCCCCTAGCATATCGCTGGTCATGCGGTTTGGCCCCCTAACATTTCCTCCCTAAGGATAACATCTCGGCCTCCGAAGTATTTCATCTCCAGGCCCAGAAAACAAAACCAGGCCCAGCTGCATGGATGAAGGCCCCCAGCCCTGGGGCTGACCAATCAGTGGACACCATGACCCTGAAAGGACACCCCTGGAAAGCCGATGACTATGCTATTGACATCCTCCCCTGAGACCACCCCTAACGTTCCCACCTGCAAGAGCAAGATAAAACCTTCGGGACAAAGGCCCCACTGAGCATGCTTCCTCCCAGCCACGCCCTTTCCTTTCCCCTCTTCTTCCTCCATGGGCACCCGTCTCTTAAACTGTAAGGGACCGCACGAGACTTGCAACGAGGGGAGCAGCAGGCAGCGGCAGCTTGTCCCAGGCTGACCCCCTGAACCTGTCCCCGAGGCCCCTTTTCTCCGATTGGCCAATGAGCCAAAGCCCTTGCTCTCCCCTATCTTCTTCTGTGCTACGCGCTTCCTTGTTTCACTGTCCAGAGTGTGCTTTTGCTGCGGCCAATGCATTCTTGCTTGTGCTCCTGCACTTTGTCTCTTGACGGAAATCTTTCCCTCAAGAAGACAACCACCGAGGTCTCATCATCTTGCCAGCACAATCTATGCTATGCTTTTCTTTTGCCTTCTTGCTACTTAAGGGACAGATCAGTCCAGAACTAGAAAGACCAGGTCTAACGATAACAATGATAGGTGTTAATGCTATTACGCACCTAAATATTCCAGGCACCACGTTTTACATGCCCTCTCTCTGCTCCTACCAGGGTGGTGCTTTGATCCACTTTGTCCAGAAGCAGACACCAAGGTTCAAGAGTAAAGGACAGAGATGCTTAAATTTATCCTGAGTGCAGTGAGATGAGCCCTGCCCGGTGCTCCAGCTAGCGGGGGGGTTACATGTATGAGAAGTGCAACATGCTGAGCTCCAGGCCCGCTCAGGGTGTGCACTCACTCAATGAAAGCCATTGTCAATAAACACTTGACAAGGCCTACACCATCATGCAGGGATGAATAAACAACTGCTCTGTGCTTTCCCGCAGGAGGGGCAGGTGAGGAGCTGCAGGTGATTCAGCCTGACAAGTCAGTGTCGGTGGCAGCCGGAGAGACGGCCACTCTGAGATGCACCCTGACCTCCATTAACACCGTGGGACCTGTCATGTGGTTCCGGGGGATACGGCCCGGCTGGGTGTTAATCTACGATTTCAAAGGAGGCCTCAGCCCCCGAATAACAACCGTTGGAGACACCACGAAGACAGACAACATGGACTTTTCCATCCGCATCAGTAACATCTCCCCAGCAGACGCCGGGACCTACTACTGTGTGAAGTTCCGCAAAGAGGACACTGGCAACGTAGAGTTCAAGTCTGGGGCAGGCACTCAGCTCACCGTGAGTGGTGAGTATGGGACCAGATCCATTGTCCCTGGCGTGTGACAACAGTTATTAGTTCTTTGAGCAACAACTAAGAATCCGCTGTGGCAGTGGGTGCTCATAGTCAGGATCTGATCCCTGGTCTGATTTCGCCCCTTCTGCAGGTCACGGAGTAAGGCCTGGAGAGGCCAAGCTGTCTGCTCAGGCCCCACGGCTGGTAGTGGGTGGGAAAAGTCTGGAACCATCTTCTGCATGACTCCCCAGCCCCTGCTTCTTCGAATCCCGTCCAGCCTCTTAGTTCTAAGTATTAGGGAGCTGCAGGTCTGAGTGACTTGCCCGTCACAAGGTCAGACCTCACCCCTGCCCGCAGAGAGAGCTCCTCTTAGTGTGGCCGAGTCCCTCCCCACCCCTTACTGACAGTCGCTGAGCACCTGCCGTGAGCCAGGCCCTGCTCTGGGTGCCGTGGGAGCTGCCGAGAACTGAGCAGGGAAAGACCCATTTCCTACAAACTTGGTTCTCTTCCCTCCAATGGGGAGAAATGCATGCAAGGCAGGGAGGGGGGAATGTGTTTCTTTATTTCCATCTCAGAATCATCACATGAGAAGAAAATCTTAAGGGACACAGACCCCCAGTTTACTCTGATAGCCCTGCTGGGCGGGGGACTCAGAAGTTGGATGATTCTCAGACTGTCCTTCATCCCGGGAGAGGGTCCCCCATGTGGGTGACTTCAGGGTCACCTCACTGAGGAAGGGAAAGTGCTCACTTCGTGTGTTTGGCCGGAGGCCTAGGATCCTGAATCCTGAAATATCAGCCCATAAAGGACCTGCAGACCATCCGCCTGCCCCCCATGCACAGGTGGGAGCCTGAGGCCAAGAGGTGACAGCAGTTTTGCCCTTGGTCACCAGGCCAGGGAGTGGGGGGCAACATTCCAGAATCTAATAAGAGTCCAAGCATGTTCCTTCCTGCCCTGTCGTGAGACCTCTTTCCATGGAAGACTTGGCCCATAGTAGGTGCTGAATGAAAGGCAACTACACCAACCATTCAACAAAGACCCAGAATATTCCTTTCATTATTTTCTCAAACGTTCACCTGCCCCTCACATTCAGACCCTGAAGCCCAAGGTAACTGAAATCCCCTCACAGCCGTGAGCCTCGTCACCCCCAGTCAAGCACCCCCATCAGCACCTAGAGCTGCCCCTTCTACAGCAGCTGCCTAACCCTCCAGCTTATGGCGACAGTTTCGCTCCTGGACAGCCTGTAGAGGGATGTCAGTTGTTCCCAACCTCTGGTTATTAAAACGGT